GGGTTCATTACAGCAGCTATCGAGGAACGCTTGTAAAAATGCTGAAAATAAACCAGCACTGAACATTAGCTGAACCATAATAGTATTTAACTGTGCAAGGAACAGTTAGGTGTATGGGGTCAAGGTGTACGGGGTCAAGGGGTCTAGGTGTATGGGGTCATGGGGTCTAGGTGTATGGGGTCATGGGGTCTAGGTGTATGGGGTCAAGGGTTCTAGATGTATGGGGTCAAGGGGTCTAGGTGTATGGGGTCAAGGTGTATGGGGTCAAGGTGTATGGGGTCAAGGTGTATGGGGTCAAGGTGTATGGGGTCAAGGTGTATGGGGTCAAGGGGTCTAGGTGTACTGGGTGACTGAGGTACTTACGAGAATCCATTGACATTAACAGCATGATGTCCACGGCACTAGACAGCAATGCCTGCAGGACAAGAAAATAATATTTTATATATAAAAGCAGAGCTGCAAGGTTTGGTATGGGAAGAATGTATTTCTTGACTTTGAAGTGGTTTCCGATATGAACCAATAGAATGGCTGGAAAACTCATGAACACATCCGATCATAATCCTTTACATGTAATAAATAGCATATAACACTAGCCATCACCCATTTTAAATATATTTTTTAACAATGTTTAARCAGGAAGCTCTCATCACCGAGGTGTTTCTCAGAGAGGTCCTGCAAAAACAGAAAACAAACGAAGGGAAAAAAAATTGTTTTTAGACTCTGGTGATACTGCGAGCCTTGGGTTATTCTGAGCTCAGCAGCAAACCACATGTGCCTTAAGCAACAATCATTCCACAGGAAGCCTAAGTAATAAAATACTTTCCAACTGATGTGTTGCAYGGTTGCCTCAATAAATTCATGTCCAATGAGCCAATCAAAGATCGAAGCATAAAGACCACTATCCAATCACAATGCTCGTCATAAACATCACCGTCATGGTCATGGTACAGCAAGCTTGTACAGGGAGGTGGTCCCTGGTCCATATCAAGATTTTTTCTCAGTAACAACTGAGGTTGCTTTGCTGAAGAAAAGCATACCTTTTGTGAAGGTTTCATGAATGGTAGTATGACAGACGTGCCCTCRTATGTCAGGAACAACTGCTTCCCCTGTCATCACAATAGTGATACAAGTGTTAACATGTTATCTCTTTATTAATAAAGGTTTTGAATGATCRTTAGCCAGTGGCTATATTAGATGGYTTGGATGACSGCATAAAATGGTGGTCCCTTCTCATTTAGAGACTTTAAACAGATAGGGCCACAAGTTTATCAGTGCTGAGTTGGCAACTGTCATGTGTCACCTTCTCTAAACAAAGACATTATTATTATCATTATTATTATTATTACTATTATGGTGGCAGAACAACAGAATCCCTTTACTCTTGGGAATTGAATTCTCTTTCATGTAAAACAATTGAATAGTTTCTACCAKCCAACATGGAACATCATTTTGTAAAGGAACATCTATTTTCTAAAGGAGTTCTGATGTAATCTTTGCTTACCGTGTCGTCTCGCAAGTCATTCTTCAGCACATCAAACACRTGAGCAAGATGATCGACTAAACAGAAAGAAAAACAGGAAGTCATGAGTTATTGGGAAAACAAAGAGTGAGAAGGAAAAGGGGAACAAGAGTAGGAGGGAGGAATTGCCCTACTTCACTATGACATCACATCAAAACAATCTTCAACAATCTATTGTTTAAACGCAAACGATCATGGTCGTCGGATGGGGTCAAATCAACGCAAACTAACCAAATTGTTCTAAATCCCGTATCATTCCACGAAGAGAAGTAGAATAGCCAGCAAACGCTCAGAAAATTTTTTAGTACATATTAACACATATTATATCTGAAAACCAGGCCATTTTAGATTAAACTGTTTCGCTAGGAGCAAATTTAGTTGAATTTTCTATTGGATTTGGCGATTCTATCCCCGACATAAACAAGCAGTGACGTCATAGTGGATTAGGTCAATTGGGAAGGAATGGATGGATGGATGGATGAAAGGAAGGGAAGGAGAAATGAAGGATGGATGGTAGTAAAATAGTAGTAAATAGTAGGACAAAAGCATAGAAAGAGGCAGAGAAATCTAATTAAATAAAAATAAATAAAGGGATGAAAGGAAGGGAAGGAGAAATGAAGGATGGATGGTAGTAAAATAGTAGTAAATAGTAGGACAAAAGCATAGAAAGAGGCAGAGAAATCTAATTAAATAAAMATAAATAAAGGGATGAATAAATGAAGGAAAAAATGAAAGACAGACTAAGAAATAAAAAGGGGAAAGAACAATGTGAAAAAATATGGATAAAATAAATAAATGGATGGATGGATGGGATGAATAAATGGACAAACCAGTGAATGTTAGACTAAAGACGAAAAAGGGGGGGAAAAAGGGGAAAGTAAAGGGGAAAATAAAAATAAATGAATGGATGAATAAATGGACAAACGAGTGAATGACAGACTGAGAAATAAAAAGGGGTAAGAACAAAGGGAAAAATAGAAAGATTGAACTGGATGGCTTCAAGAATTAAAGAAAAGTGAAGGAATGGCAGAAACACTCACCTTGTGAAAGTGTCTTTAATATAATGAGAGAAGATAGCATSCGTATGTGAACATTAGAGCTATTGAAATAAATATTGCTGCCTTTCCCTTTGTCTCCTTTGCTTGGACCAGTCACAAGGCCCTCATCTGTAATCCTGATCATCTGTGAATGAATCAAGAAGAATCATCAAACACCTTTATTACGATGTTATGTGTCGCTGTGTGTGTGATACCTGTGGTTTATGGAGCTCTTCCCCAATGTGACGGAATGTTGAAGCTAGTGTTGA